TATATATATATATACACACATATATATATATATATACACACATACATATATATATATATATATATATATATATATTACGTGGTTAGTGCGCAGAACCTGCAATTTAGGCAGTTTTGACTCTCTTTTTTCCCCTGAAATTCAGTGTTTTGACTTCATATGGTGTGCTCCAATTCCAAATCTTGTCATATGATTAGGTTTGAAGTGTGTGAGGATCCAGCTGGCTGGGTGAGCATTGACAAGAAAACAGGACAGGTTACATCAGCTAAGAAGATGGACAGAGAGTCTCCCTTTCTTAATGGCACAAGCATTTACAAAATCCTCATCTGTACCATAGATAATGGTATGAAGGAACTTTACTCTGTATTCTAATAAAACACAAGATGGATAATGTCCACTGCTAAACCAAATGCTTAGATTAACAAGGTGTCTTTTTCCTTTGCTATGGCTACCAAGGTGACCCTCCAGCCACAGGTACAGGCACTGTCCTGATCCACTTGGGGGATATCAATGACAATAAGCCTTACCTTGTAAACAAAGGTGTCATTATGTGTGGAAACAAGAATAATAACGTCAAGGTGACTGTCAAGGATGATGACGTCCATCCTTACAGTGGACCCTTCACCTTCTCCCTGGGGGGTAATGACAAAACTCTGGAGAAACAATGGAAACTAGATCCTGCCTATGGTTAGTGCTTATCTGTAACCCCTTCTTACAAAACAAGCAAACAGAATTTTCCAATTAAAAAGCTCACCTTTATTTACATCCTTCAGGCATGGAAGGTGGTCTTGTTAGCCGGAACCCACTTGCTTATGGTAACTACTCTGTGCCCCTGGTGATTTTGGACCAACAGAACGTGATTGGACAGGATACTTTGGAAGTGATGGTGTGTGACTGTGGAGAGAAAGACGTTTGCCGTGGCAAAAAGCCGCTCTCAACCAGCTTTGGGGCACCTGGCATTGGACTGATCTTTGCAGGACTCCTCTTGTTTTTGTGTGAGTATGGCAGTCAGTGGCAACACTAACAAAACCATTAAGTTCATGCTCAATAAACCGTCAGGTACCCTTAAAAATCTTTTAGATTTAAATCAACTTCTCTGAGGAAATGAAATTGTCAAGATTGCTAACTCGTTAACCACTTCGTTGGTGGTGCGAACACTTTTGTGTGTGTCTGCAGTACTGCTCCTCATCTTTATGTGTCAGTGTGGAAAGGAGGAGTTCAAGCACGTGCCCATGGTGGAAGAGGGCAACCAGACACTCATCAAGTACAACCAAGAAGGAGGGGGCTCCGAATGCAAGGTGTGTGGGTTATGTTCTATGCAAATTTGTGTGCTTTGTTACTCCAGCAATTACACTGTGTGAGCCATTTTGGCTCTACTCAATTTATTCATTTTTTGTGTCTTCTCTGCCAGACTGAGCCCACTCTGCTCCTGACACCTACAAACAGTGTGGCTGTGACGGATGGCATAAAACAGGGCACCGTGAAGGTACTCCTCCTCTTCTCCCTTAGCCTCTCTGTCCCTTTTTTGTGGTTGACTTTTTCACAGGTGTGTCAGTGTGGGTGTAATTTCAGTTTAAAAGGCTTTAGGTAGAATGCAAAACAGAAAAAGTTACATTAAGAAAACAACTAGTGCTTTGGAAAATGTTGCTCCTAATCCTGCTAAAAAAGGAATGACAGCTCCAGTTACTAGTAACTTTTGTTTGCCCATTTACCTGAGGTGAAGAAAGATAGACAGGCAGGTGACGTAAGACCGGGGTAAAGATGCATGTTGTAGACACTTTTATGGCATAAATAGTATAATAAAAAAGTAGCCCACAGGGTATCAGTATCAGTAGTATGACACGATAGAAAAACATCCTTGATTGCCTGGAGTACCTCCAAAGAGAGACTGCCTGATCTGTTTTAGAATAATGGTAAAACAAATAAAAATAAAAAGATGTATTGATCATAGCACTAGCAGCCTTTGAATATGAGATAAAGGTTTGTGGTACACCAATAGATGTATAAGTTTAAGGAGTTGACTGAATGTCATGTATGCACTGACAAATCTAAAGTATATGAGTCATGAATGCACAAATGTTATTTTCTAGAAGTTGGCCGCATTGTTCTTTTCAAACATTTGATCAAATGCTTTGGGAATTGCCACAGAAAAAAATACAATTCCATTTTTACTGGGCTCTGCTTAAAAGGTTGCTTTATTCATTTGTTTTACTCAACTAGATGGGTCAGATGGCTTCAGTAATGGCCCAGGACATTGGTACATACAACAGCTCAGGTTTCACCATGGTGAGTAAATAGTCTCCTTTGTGTGTTGGTAATTCTACAAGGCAAATAATTATGATGATTTAGAGGAATGTTTACAGCAGCGGCAAAGGTTGAAATGATGGTTCTAAACTAACTTACTAACTTGTAGTTAGCAATTGGGAGGACCTGTTGCTGTCCTCTACTATGCCTCCCCCTCACTCTAATTTAACTTTACTGTATATCCTCTACAGATGAACTCCAATATGACCTCACTGGGCATGCAGCATCAAAGAGACACTCTCAAAAGCAACAGAGGACAGGCCATGGTAAGTGACTGCAGCTATTATTATAATACCCCCCTTCTTTTGCATATGCTTCCTGATGGACGTGTTATCACATGGTATCTGTGAGATCCATTGGTGTGTTAGGTGTGTCTTGTAGAGTCTGCACACTGCCAGTTTTAATCCAGAAGGTGGTGCCACAACCAATTAAATGCTACATGAGCAAGACCTGTTTTGCACTCTGTGTTCCACAAACACACATACTGAGCATAAGCAAGATTTATTTATGAGCCCATGTGTTTGTGTTAGTCTTGCCTATTGTCTATAAGTTCACATGATATCTCAAAAAAGTGTTCACTGGTTTTTCAAAGAAAAACATACACACACACACACACACACACACATACAGTGATGGTCAGATAAGGTCAAGTGAGGCCAGTAAAGATTGAATTTGTTCATTTATTTAATTTCAGTACTCTACATGGAATACAAACAAGACCAGCACCCACCAGGTAATTAGTGCTCTTTATTGAATTAGTATGTTTTAATAAGTAGGCAAAATAAACCTTGTTTAACTGCACTGTACACATTTTCTAATATATAGTATGTTAATTATGAGTAGAAAGGTAATTTACATTGTGTTTTCGTTTACAATCCTCTCTGTGAACAGGGTGGCTCATCATGGTACAGCCGCTCTCTCAGCATGCGGTCAAATCAACACATTGCAGATCACCTCGACAGGGTAAGAAAACTTGTCTTCAATCTACCACCTTGCATGGTTGCTCACTGCCATTGGTGTGTGAGGGTGTGTTTGAATGGGTGATTGGCAAATTGTAAAGCGCTTTAGATAAAGGTTCTACAAAAAATGCAACCTGTACGAACTGTGCAGCACTGGCTGGTGGACAGGCCATAATCCTGTTATAGTGAATGGGTTTGAATTAAACTCAATGCCCATATACATAATATGGAATAAAACAAAATCACTATAAGGCCCTGACTTTGGGCAATGATAGAAGTAGTTTAGTGTGTATATCCAGGCTGAATGTATTTTCAGATGTATTTTGGTATGAGCTTTTTTTGACAAAATGACCCAGAAATCTTTTTTTCAATCCCACAGAGACTGTACATGATTGAGGGAAATCACGTAGACCACCCACAGTACAAACCCCATGAGTATGCCTACGAGGGACAGGGCAGCAAATGCCAGTCACTGGATGAGTTGTCACTGAGCAACATGGGAGATGATTTGAACTTCCTGAATCATCTGGAGCCAAAGTTCAATACCTTGGGAGGCATATGTCACCAGACAATTCAAGAAAAAAACATACAGCTTTAAAGGGAACCGCTGGATTGGGATTTTTATATCAATCAAGTTGGTCTTCGCTCCTAGTTTGAGGTTGTGATTACGGACTGATTTGACTGGATCTTTGGAAAAAGGGATGTAGCATCACGTTTGGATTTTGTGGTTAAACTTCTCACATAAACTGGCTCACACATTTTTATAGCCAGATATTTTTCTATATTGGCATCTATCCACCAAACAAGGATTATGTAGTAGAGGCTGTATTTTGCTTGCTTCAGGATGGAATTAATGCATTGCGCAAACTTTCTTGCTCCAGAGACTTTGAAATGTTTTTTTCTTATAGTGACTGGGTGAGTTCGCTTTTTTTACTTTAGGCCTGATTTCTGTGGAAATATTTCATAACCTCACTTTATGCGACTTTATACACAATTGTTTTCTTTTGTAAAAGATCCTGGATAAAGATCAGCAGAAATCTGCCTGGTTGAAACTATTATTGTTTAACAGTAGCTGAGGAGTAGTATTGTTCCTACTAAATGGAGGTACTATAATTGTTAATGATCTAGTGATACAGTGGTGTGTCATTGACACTGTCTGTATGACTGTATTTTAGCATTTGCTGTCTTGAACAAGCATTATTTTAGAAATAATAATGGGGTGATTCTTTTTTTTACCTAGAGAGAGGTGGGAATACGTGTTCATTTATTGAAGCAATTGGCAATAAAATCATACCAAACTAGCCTGTCCTACTGTATTATAGTGTTAAGATGTATCATTAAAGGGTTTTCATTTTCAACTACTCACTTTCAATTACTACTACTAAGACTATGTCATGATATTCAGAAGAAAAAGAGCTAGTCAGTGAGGGAGTGGCAGAAGCAGAAATGTGATACAGTGTGCAGAAAGGGAGGAAAGTGAGTTGGGTTGAATGTTTTCTCACCATGGATATTATTCCAAACTCATCTAACATTGTGTAGCATAAGGGAGCTACATTCTGAACAATGTTTTTAAAACCAATGCTGCAGCTGTCTACAGTGTTGGTACTGAACAATTAAAAGATTGTATGTCTACATGAAGGTTGTGTTATCACCAGTTTGTTTCATCAACTCCTAGTGTCGATGCCACAAGACACCTTCAGCCTGTGTGATTTAATTTGACATGTTTTTGTGTTCCCTCTGTAAGCTGTTGTTGAAAGTTAAAATGGGTGCCCTTTATAAATAAGCGAAGCTGTTTTTTTGATTACGGGTGTGACACAGGGAGTAATATGCAAATATGGTACTTGTCTGAACTAGCCTGGCCAACACGCATAACCATAAAGAAACTGAATGTTAGTTTCAGAAAGTTCAGATTCAGCACAACCAGGTAATAGAGGACACTGACAGTGCTGTTACCTCAGGCTATAGCAGGAAATAAGACATATATATGCAAGCACCCAACAAAAAACTGATATACAAAATATACAAGGGAGCATGAAAGTAGCACATAGGAGGATATATTGGCAGAAATATAATGTAAAGTATGTTAATTTGCAGTAGAAAGATCATTTACATTATGTTTGGGCTATGGGCGCTGTGTGAACAGGGTGGCTCGTCAAGGTACAGCTGCTCTTTCAGCATGCAGACAAATCAACACATTGCAGTTACAATCGACATGGGGAAGAAAACTGAATCTACCACTTTGCATGGTTGTTCACTGCCATTTGTGTGTTAGGGTGTGTTTGAATGGGTGGCAAATTGTCTGTGTCAATGTTTTGCTATTATGATGTTTTTGTATTAATATTACTGCTGTATGCTGCTTTTTACTGTTCTAGATGATTAAGGTTGGGCTAATTTTAACTACTTTGTATACTGTTGGGTGGTTTAATCTACAGCAATGCCTATTATTCTGTAAAATCATCCTATGTTTGTATTGTCGCTGTTCTGTGAGAACAATGTATCACTAAAAAGTGAACTTTGCATGAGCTCAGAAAAACAGTCCCGTTTTCAGTTTTGTTTTCTCTACCCATAAAGGAACACTTAATGCATAATTTTATCTGAAAATCACATTAAATCTCACCACATTTGGAGATACACGGACAGGAAGGGAATAAACATGCATGTTTTCCTTGGCAATATTATACAGGTTTGTATTACCTCATGCAGCTATCATCTTTTTTCTTGAGAAGTGATTTTATCAAGGCTGCTGGTAAATGGTTGAGGGGAGGGTTAGAACAGATGATTCATGCTATGCTTTGTTACAGTGGTATGTAAGAGTGATTCTACACTTCCAATTTAGCGTCGAGTCGAACTATGATCTAAAATTTCCATTCAATTAGTATTCATATTATTAGAATATTAAATACATTTACATTATGATATTATAATATAATCATGCTATTGTGAATTAAACTAAAGTTTAGATATTTCTAAATTATGATATTATAATATAATCATTCTATTGTGAATTAAACTAGAGTTTGAATTCTGAAAACTTCCTCCCACATCTTTTCACAAAGACAAACTTGAGATGTCATGCGGATCAAAACAAGGGCCTGAAATGTTATTTCTTGACTTGGCTGTTATGCTGGCATTAAATTCAATAAAAACATTTTGAGTTTTAAAATATGCTTGAATTAAACAAAAATGAGCTGATATGATGAGAAGAAGTTGAATGAAATAGTATTAGTAATATTAGTAAATTTGTAAATTAGTACATATATAGTAATATTGAGCTTTAAAAATTCTTATTTTTAAAGCTTAATATTATATATTTATCCATATCATACTGTATATTCATATGAAATAAATCTAAAACCTTATACATATAATACATTGTTATATTATTTACTGTACTTTATATTTTGTCTGGATTTATAAACATTTACAGTATATGAAAACTTAATTTATATAATATCGAACCATTTGTTTCTGCTTTCAAAGCATTTTTGAAAACCCACTCGTTTTTAATAAAAAAGCTTTATTTGGACTAACTTTTACTTGCTTTCATGTGTTTCACAGTATGTATTTTGACTGTGTTTTTGTGTATTTGCAACATTGTGAAATAAAGATAATGATCATTATTACATTCTGTATCATATACATGAGAAACTGTAGTCTTGCCACATTCGTGTTAGACAAACACATTCTTACACGCGTACACATGTACACACCCATCTGCTATGAAATGTTATGATAGGCCCTGCCACCTTCCACCCACCCACAGATATATAGTAGCCAGAACCCGCATTGGCATGTAGTTGAATTTTGGTGTTTTCAATGAATGCTGCTATCTAATGGTCTAATCTTGATACACTATGGGGACAATACACGTTAGTCTCTTCATGATGCTGGTAAGATTTTCCTTCCATTTTATTTCACAAAATGATTTTCTTTCTTGATGCTTACTTGTGCCATATATTCCAAAATGATTGTTTTGTATTGGCTGATTCGAACAACATGAAAGAAGGCGTACAGATGTATTATTTTAACCCGCATAAGTTAAGTGTAAGTAATATGATGTTTTTTCAGATTTTGGGAGTCTACGGGTCATCTTCAGAAATTTTACAGCGACAAAAAAGAAGGTGGATCATTGATTCCTTTAGTATTGATGAGGGCTATAAAGGACCATTCCCATATTCATTGGGCAAAGTAAGTACCTACTGAGAGTCACAATGCATAGGTATGACAAGATGCAGAATTTTCTTTTACAAAATGTTGTGTTTTGACTCCCTACAGATTACTATAGAGAAAGACCTGACCTTTTTCAAAATACATGGTCAAGGTGTTGATAAGGAACCCAAAGGCGTACTCCAAATCAACGAACACACAGGTGACATTACCGTCCACAGGGCTGTGGACTTTGAGAAATTCCATGTTTTTAAGGTTAGAAAGAATTTACTAAAACAGCATTATTACAATAATCTCCAGCACAAAGGATGTGTGTGGAGCATGGTGAAGTGTTTCATATTTCAGAATTCTTGCCTTTCCATTACAGCTAACATTTCAGGCACTTGATAAAGAAAGTCATCTTATAGAAACACAGCTGGGCATTGAGATAACAATTATAGACTCAAATGACAACCCTCCAAAGTTTGACAGAGAAAAGTATGAGATCTGGATAAAAGAGTCAACCCTACAAGGTAACTTTTTGACAATTTCCTCATATTCTTAACTGCTACTATTATGGCAAAACTAAATAGCAATTTACATAATGTATATACACAAATAAAATAGCGAATCTCACAATGACCTAAAATAAAATAAAACAACTTCTTTCTTATCACACTGACAGGCACTGACTTGATCACTATTAAGGCAAGCGATATTGACACCGGTAAGAACAATGGAATATTTGATTTCAAAATAGTCTCAGTCACCCCTCCACCACATGAGCTGGAGTTCACCTTAACCAAGAACCATGCTGCTCAAACTGGAACAATATCATTTAAGGGGTGTCTGGACCATGAGGTGGGAAGACTCATTGCTTAATGGCATAATTTTCAAATGCAAAATATCAAATCTGTTGATCTTGGAAGTTCCATCTGCTTACATTTGAATAATATGGCAAAATCAAATATGTTTAAATATTCATTGAAGTGGTTGTTCTTTTTAACTCAGGCTGCAGAAAAATACACCATTGTAGTGGAGGCCAAAGACCGTGGAGACAAAATAAAGCTCTCCAGCTCCTGCACCATCATAGTCAACATAGAAGATGGAAATAACCACCTGCCTATGATCACAGGACAAACAGTGAATACTAACTTATTTCAATTACCTTGATGAAGGCAATGACAGCTGTTGCCTATATTACAGCAGTCTTTTTTTCATAATAAAAGTTACATTTATTTTTTTACCTCAGGGTCCAGGGACAGTGAAAGAAAACGACGAAAATGTTCTTGTTTCCCGTCTGCAAGTTACAGACCTAGACACAAAAGGTACAACGGCCTGGAGAGTGGTATATAAGATCCAAGGAGACGAAAACAACAACTTTAGAATCACAACTGATAATGAGACCAATGAGGGACTACTATATGTGGAAAAGGTATTTTGTCACACATACATTGATTTTTTCACGCTACAGTCTAATAATTATTTGGTAAAAAAAAAACTTGTCTTGGTATGTTCAAAAACCATTTACTGTAGACAAAAAATTAAACCAATACAACAAGCATTATGGTTTAAGATACAGAACCTTTTACCACACTTTACCACAGACTTAAATTCCTTAGTATGCTATTTTACCCACAGATGCCCTTACTTAATGTCTTACCTTTAGATATCATGCTGTATTAATAATATATACATCCTGTTCAGGTACCCATTTGAAGAATCAGGCGGAAGTATAAAGGCTTAATCCAAAACAATTATGCTCCACTGTAGTTTTCTTTAACATTTACGTTTATGCGACAATTTTAACAAAACAAGCCCATATTCTCAAAACTAGTTTTTATGTTAAATATTTTGGCCTTTTCTAAGAGACCACAAATGCTGAAGAGAATGAGACTTGGATATTCTCGAATGTGGTTATTCATACAAATTAATTTTTTTAGTTCTGTACTGCAGAAAAGACTGACAACCTGTGTATGATGAACTTCATGGCTCTTAAAAAAGCCCTTCGATGAAACTCTTCTTTGTCTTCAAACCAACATTTGATCTTTATCTTTTTTACAGCCTCTGAACTATGAAGACAGTCCTCTGAAGAACTTGACTATCAGTGTAGAGAATGAAATTCCTTATCACTCATGTAAAGTGGTGAAGCGCGAATCCAATAAATTCAGTCTTTGGGAAATAGTCATTACTGGTGGTGCCACTATTAGCAGTGCAACTGGTGCAACTGGTACAACATTAAGTCTGTCCACCCGTCAAGTGACAGTGACTGTGGTGGATGTCAATGATCCTCCAATCTTCGACAAACCTAACCAACATGTTAAGCTGAGTGAGAATGTTACAGCAGGACATTATCTGGTGACATTTACAGCTAAAGACCCTGACATCGCCAGTGGAAACACATTTGTGTAAGTCATGAAGATACCAGCTACATGTTCATATTACAGGAAAACAACATTCTACATTAGTAGATCAATAGAGAACTTATATCTAACACAACATGTATGCGTGTTTCAGCTACATCACAGGAAACGATCCAGCTGGCTGGCTCACAGTGGACCCTAAGACTGGAAAAATAACCACATCGAAGATCATAGACCGAGAGTCACCCTATGTGAAAAACAATATCTATAACGTCACAATATATGCTGTTGACAATGGTATGATCTGCAGTTGTTTTCATATTCTGTATATGTTATCAATCACAGTTTCTTTATCACATTACTGAAAATGTACATGTGTTTTTGGTGACCAGGTAAACCTCCAATGACAAGTACTGCAACCCTCAGCATCCATATTGCCGATGAGAATGACAATACTCCTATCCTGTCTCGAAACACCATTGCCATGTGCCAATCTGATGAACCCTCTCTTGCCAACATCACAGCCTTTGATTTGGATGAAGAACCGTATGGTGGACCTTTTCACTTCAAGCTCCTTGGAGATGTTGAGGGCAAGTGGAGGGTTGACAGTCCTCAAGGTGACCTCTAATTCTCACAACTCCTTTGGGGTTCGACCATAAACCCCGTGCAAATAATGCCCTGCAAATCAACCTCTAAGTTTAAAAACAATTTGTCTTAAATATGACTAATATTATTATATATTATTATAATATTAATGGTATTATTTTTTGATGTACAGGATATTCAGTGAACCTGGTGAAAGAGAACGTAGTTCATTCTGGACACTTTGAGCTGTTTCTGGAAGTGGCTGACCTTCAGCACCAGACCACTGTCCACAAGCTGTCAGTTACAGTGTGTCACTGCTTAAACACAGCGTGGCCAGACTGTCGGTCCCGCAAAGCTACTGGCTCTGCAGCAGGAGGAGAAGCACTCGGGATCATTTTTTTCAGTATACTACTGCTTGCAGGTAGGATGCATATCCAAAATACTTGAATCATTGTTAATACGACTTTATTTTAAACATATATATATTTAAAAAACATAGAACACATTTTCATTTTAACTAAATTAAAATTAAACTGATATTAAACAACAAAATTTTATATTTTGGTCATGAGTCTCTGATCTGTCTGTGTGTGATCTTTGTATCCCAGGGGCACTAGTTGCTGCTTTTCTGGTGTCATGTAAAATGACCAATATCAGACCATTGCCAGATCAAGGTACAGGACAAAGTCTGATTGTCTGTAACATTGAGGAACCAGGAACTGACTGCAAAGTAAATACTTTTATTATTATTAAAATTACCTGTATTTCATTATTACTGTAGGCTTATACAATTTCATTTAATTTTCCTAATTTAAATTAAAGTGTAAAATTAAATGTGGTAGTACTTATTAAAAAATATTTTTAAAGTAATTGTTAGAAAGCACTGATACCTGGAGGTAACTTGCTGTTAAAAAACAAACAATTTCAACAGGTGAAATTTGAGGCATTAAACCATAGACAGAAAGTTCCAACAGCAACAATAAAGCGAGTAAGTGATCATAATAAATACATTTATTTAATAATAAGCTTATGAAGCATACTTTTCTTATGTGCTATGTATTTTTTTTACTACTAAGTACTTATGTGTGGTCATGACTTGACTTGATTTGGCTTTTTTTTGCAGTCAGAGATTAGGAAAACAACTGCGGGAGGGCAACTTTCAGAGAACTCCGCATACCAAACTAAATTTAAGGAAATTAACAGTTTGTATGGGGTAAAGAAATATCTTTTTTTGGTCAGAAATGGAACCATATTCTATATTAAAATGAATCCTGTGATATTCTAGATTCTTTTATTGTCAATTAATCTAATTAATAGACCAAAACCAGCAATGAATTGATACTGCTGTCTGTGTAGCAAAAGCCTGATAAAGCTTTTCCATGTGCACCATCCTATTGCCAAATACTTGCTAGTGCACCAAGTCTTAAAGTAAAACTACAGTACCCAGTTGATCTAAACATTTAAAAAAAAAGAAAACTATTTTAACACTATTTACATTATCAGTAGGTACTTAAAATCACAGATTGGCTGAAAAGTGGAAAAGACAGAGTAACACACTGTTGGTTTTGGTGTTTTCATAAGATTTGATGACAACCAGAAAAAAAATCTAATACTAGCCTTATCCTTTCACATTTTTCTCACAGTGACAAATGACAAATGACATGTTTTTTTTCCCTCTTGCAGTTGATAACTGACTCCAACTGGGAACAAAGAAGAAGCTATAAGGAACACGAGTTTACACGCAACAGCTCTATGCGTTGGGTACTGAAATTATTATTATTATTGTTATTATTATTATTATTATTATTATTATTATTATTATTATTATTATTGAAGTTCATTACATCCCAGCATATTGTACTAAATTTACCACTGAATTTTGCAGTCAATGGGCAATTCATCAGCAATGAAAATGGGACATCACCACAGAAACTCTATGGTACTATGAGCCCTTGTCTTCAAATTTATTTTATTTTTTTTAATATCCTGAAATCATACATCTATCTGCTTTTGATTTCCCAGAGAGCGGTGGGACACAGTACATATTCTGCACAACAGCAGCTTGATGTTGTCCGACGTGAAACTCTGATCAAAGTACTAAAACAGGTAATGACAAGGATTTAATCAATCAAACAAAGCTTTGAGCTTTGAGTTTTTCTTTGCTTTAAAAAAAAAAAGATTAACCTTTTTTTTCCCTCCCCTTTATACTGTAGATGGTGTACAATCTCCAGGCACCAGGAGAGGAGCTGGGTGATTATGCTCCTCATGTGTATGCTGACGAGGGAGACACAGGGGCCGGCTTTGACCTTGATGCTATCTCCATCCCTGATATGGCTTTTGACCTAGACTTAAACTCGGACCTGACTGTCAAGTTCAGTAAACTGGCTTCAATCTGCATGCCTAGTGAAAGTACTTCTTACAGTACTAAAACTTCCTGTGTAATGGAAAAACTTGAGACAGCAACTCTAATCCAAGTGGAAAGCCAAAAAACTAACATGAACATTGAATCACATTTCTAAACTGTTACATTTATTTTGGGACTGGTCAGTTTTTACATTTTGATGAAATAACTTTAATCTTACTTCCTTGAACTACTTGAACTATTTTGGGATGTTTAGTATTTCTTCTTTCAAAGCAATGTAGATGGTAGTTAATTAATTAGCAGCTGATTCTGAGGGACTAGTAATTAAAAAAAATATTATTATGAAAAATAAGCAAGACCGAGCCACATTTAAGTAGCAGGGTGTGTATCAGGGCAGAGTCATGGTATGAAGAGATAGAATCTTCAGTGGAAACCGGCCAACAAAACCTTAACGTGTATATATATACTGATGATCTACAGTACTGACGGGGAAACTGCTGTTTTTTTGTTTTTTTTTCTTTGGGATATCTAATGATTAAAATTTTTCAAAATGGTTACTAAATTTGATGGTAATTATGTAAATATGCTGCTGTGTCATTGTGTAAATAAAGCACCACCAAGAAGCCATGATAACTTCTCCAGCAACATCATTTAATGCTATTTCCAAGGAACCATTACCAACTTGTCAAGCTGGTTTTCTGCTCTGTTTAGACTGTAGATCAAAGACAAGGTGATAGGTGGAAAAAGGGTGTGGGATAGCGTGCTTGTTTGTTCATCCTGTGGGCGTGTGTGCGCATTCATGGGCCGCTGTGTGGGTACATAATCGCGTAAAGACTTAAGGAATCATATCTTCTATACTTTCTTATAGGATGATCTTAACTGTCCTTATTTCATTTTACTAACAGCAAATCAATTTTGACAGATATAAAATATAGATATAAAAAAGATTTAAAAAAAAAACCATAACGAAAATGAAACTCCAAATAATGATCTACTTTATCAATCTATTTCCTATGAAATACTGACTCCTTGTGGTTATTCAGTGTTAATAACACTACCTGTATCCGTGCTCAACACACAATTTAACCATGAATTATAAGTTTTAATATGGTAAATACAGATATATTAGGGCCTATCAATGTGAGTGACTAGTGATAATGACGTTATGAATCTGGAACTGCTGTATGGACAGTGATTACGTTGTTGACTTTTTTCTGAGGGTGTGGGTCTCAATAAACGACACTCATTGCATCAGTCAATAGAGTGTTTTGTTGTTTATAGTTTCAGTTTGCAGGACACTGGGTGGGAGCTGCTGTTCCAGAATAGTCACAAATTCTCTCCACCATGCCTGGACAATAAAGTCTTAAAAAAACTAAACAAAACCACCCTAGCATGAAATAGCACATACAAGTCAACAGCAGTCTATTCTGATGACACAGACATGATAGACATGAGTAATAGACAGTACCAAGCAATGTAACAGCTAAGACCAGAGGTTCTGCTGACAGTAAATAGGGTGAAGTCACAAAAACATGTGTGAGCTCTACCCGGTCAGGCCACTGACACACAAAGGAGGCGTTAAACCCTTTGCTGACGGGTTTGCTCCACCAGGGCCACCCTGGAGGCTGTGGTGGAGGTGGGAAAAACAATATTAAAGGAACAGATTAAACTGAAAATGAAAAGGTATTTATTTGTGAAGCAGAGGCAATTTTGTTCAATCATAAAGAGGTTCAGTGTATACCAGGTGATCATATTCTAGAGAAGAATGCTACAGCACTAATTTACAGGAACAGCTAGAGATCTCTCACCCTCTCCTTAAGGAGTCTGTGGGGGGAGCGAACATTATCTCCAGTGTTTGTTGTCTGCAGCAAGATATTCCTCCTGGGAACCCCCAACCACAGAGCCACATCTAGATAAAAAAGCATGCTACTGTAAACAAGAAACACAAATGTCAGTTTGAATAATATACCTGAGAATCTGAAACTACATTAAGCTTTTAGCTTTGTTTAATCTTTTTTAGCATTTGTTTTTATTTTTTATTTTTTGTGGACTACTTTACTGTGTGCTAAATATTGATTTTTCACAACAGGAGCTTGTTTTCAGCAAACAAGCCCAGCTAAACCCACTTGACACTAAGTTAGCATTCCTGCCTGGCACCAAACAGTTCAGCTGGTAAGAAAGTTAGCAAGCTAGATACAAATATTTTTCTCAGGAGTTGGTGGAAACAAGACCTGAGCTGAAAGGACTAACATTCGTCTCTTGGGCAGAAACAAATGTTTTTTTTGTGTTTTCTATGTGTAACCAACAACGGTTTGTTTTGTGTTTCTGCACACTAGTGGCCAAAATGTGATTATGCAGCAATACATACAATTGTATTATAGTATTTTTTAATTTAATTTAATTTATTTATTTTTTACAAAATTTGCAGTCTGATGATAACTTAAATTGTTAATAGAGGTAATATTCATTTCATTTATACGCATTATATAAATGAGTACACATATCCAAACTTTTTCCAGATGATGATCCAGATGAAAGTAGTCCCAGAGGATTCTGGCCCATTTCTCACTCTTTCTAAACATTCCTCTCACGTGCTGAGCTGTGAAGAAACTGAGGGAGCAGACATCATAGTCATAAGCCACACCACAAAAAAACAAGCTAAACTAAATTATAACCACGATGCCAGAACAGCTCTCTCGAGTATAAACCGCATCCTATTGCAGTTTTATGTGTAAAGAACAGCACTCGTCATAACGATGCTAACTTATGTAAGGTAAAAGAAAAGATGTGACACAGCAGTCTCTGTAACATCAGTCCCAGGCGAGGAGGCAGACATAGGCCATCCTTTAAAAGGACAAGAGATCACAACAGTGGCTGCTTTCCACTGAAGCTGCTACTTCTTAAATATAATTGTACAGAAGTGCAGGCCATTTATTATCCCAATGTTCATTTGAATGAATCCTCCGTTCCAATTCTCTGAAGGATAACAGCTTCCAACATCAAAATAGACCAAAGTAGACCTGAGTGGTGCTTCCAGTTTTTATATAAATACAATATATGAGTAGAATTGTTCTCAGAAACACACATCAACGGTCTGACAGGCAAATAAATACATTAATACACATCTGAGTCATTGTGCTTACGCAGGTTGTGAATAGTAGCAGCACTACCTAGTAAACATCCAAAACCTGCTGTGGTTAGAGGGCAGTTTGGCCTCACCCTACTTGTTATTCTTAATCAAATGAAACAAACCAACCCCTCAGGAATGACAGTCAGTTCACAATCACAGCTTTCAATAGCTTACTTCTGATTTTCATATCTACCACGCTTGCTGCATTAATTTTGCATTAACTTTTCATTGTCTACTATTTCTCCAATAAGCACCATTTGTTTAATTTCTGTACAGCAATGGTTAAATGAGGGACATCACAATCCAACCAATGTCATCATTTGACCTCCAAAGAGCTGTTTACCAAAGGCACGAAAAACATGTAATCTAAAATAATGTGGCATACTGCCCCCTGCTGGTTAGTTTAGGAACTATGTTTACTCTCATTACCATTGCTGCAGCGCTGATCCTTATAAATAATTGATCAAAATACATTATAACCTCAAGCAAAACTTGTATGCTTGGACCCTCTATTCATTTGTTTTGTCGTTTTTCTTTTGTACTGTCTGAAAAAATGACCAAATAGCGTAAAATGAGTGTAGTGAATTTGTTTCCCAGTCAATCTGCAGTCTCCACACATTTTGAAGTCCACACTTTTCCTAAAAAAAAGTCCTTGATATCTTTAGACACTCTTTAATAGACTGAATTAACATGATTTATTTGTCCCAAAAGGTTTAACCTAGATAGGCATTTAGTAATCCTAACATTAAAAATACACTGTCAACTCTTAACATGTAATGACACCAACATCTGTACATGTTGTGTGGCATAAGGCTGTTATAAGCTATATTGAAAGTTGAAAAAATTCAAAAAATATTAATAATATGTTTTGTTTATATATATTTATTAAATGAAATACATTCTTTATCTTCCAAAATAAATATACCATCATAGAAATATCAGTAGAGCAAGAATAAATTGTTTATTCTACCACCTAGAGGGCTTGCCTTCCCCACTACCATGTCCTTGTAGGTAGCCGTCATACAGCTCTCTGAGATGGAGGATAAGCTCTTCTGTGTTCTGTCCCGTAAGAGCCGACACGGGGATGACCCGCTGTGTGACCAGGCTCTTTAAAGTCTCTAGCTTCTCCCGGGCTTCGGGTATGTCCATTTTGTTGGCTATGATGGCCTGAGGCCGCTGGGAAAGACCATGCTCATACTGATCCAGTTCATAACGCAATTGCTGGAGCTGGGTCCAGGGCTCCGGAGTCGAAAGGTCCAGAACGAAGAGGAGGAAACGACAGCGCTCTATGTGACGCAGAAAAGAGAGGCCCAGGCCTCGGTTTAGATGGGCTCCTCGAATGATGCCTGGGATGTCAGCAACTACACAGCAAGGATAAAAGCGAAACATGTACATTATAAAAAAAAAGAAAGCTACAATAATCCAGACCGAGATCCGACCAAACTTTGCTATACTGCTGTAAAACAATAAATAATAATAATTCTATAATATATTCATGGTTTGCTTACAATCAACTACCTTACCTGCAACTTGCTCATGATCCCTGTACATGACAATTCCTACATGTGGATTGAGTGTTGTAAAAGGGTAAGCAGCCACAGCAGGCCTCGCGTTGGAGATGGCTCTCAACAACGATGATTTCCCAGCATTAGGAAACCCAACCTGACAGGATAAACGTAAAGGAAATAAATCTGTTAATTACAGTTGTGGTGTTTAAAGCAATATACCAATTTTATTTTAAAACATAAGCATCTTTTTCTCACTAGTCCGGCGTGTGCCATGGTGCGGAGCTCTAGCTGGAGGACCCTCTCCTGGCCTGCCGTTCCTGGGGTTGCGGTCAATGGGGCGCGGTTCTCATTGGACAGAAAGAATCGATTCCCCTTCCCACCGGCCCCTCCAAATACCGCCAGATACTCCTGGCCATTCTCAGAAAGGTCCACTACTGTCTTTCCATCTTCCTTTATTACAGTGCCCAATGGTACCTTTAAAAAGAAAACAAAAAAACACCAAAAGGCCAGGTTAGGCAGAAGGTTTATGGTAGAAACATGACGTGTTATTTATGATCCAATGCATGGACTCACAGAAATATAGGTTGTGCTGCCATTCTTGCCGTAACAGTTCTTACTGCCTCCTGATTGCCCGTCCTCTCCCTTGTAAACCGGAACTACTTGCGCCAATGATTTGACAAAGCGGTCAGCTGAAAGCACACAAATAGTGAATACAGTTAGAACATGTTTTGGCATGATGCAGAATTAAGCTTTTTTTTTTTTAAACCAAATCTAGTCCTTAATTTTAACATAATTCGTGTTAATGGAAATTGTAGACACATAACTTACCCTTGATAATGATGCTGCCTCCATCACCTCCATTACCTCCGTTCGGTCCACCCCACTCTTTTCGGGGCTCACTGAGAAAGCTGCAGGACCCTTTACCGCCTGATCCAGCCACCAGCCTCACACGCCGTTGGTCTACAAAGTGACGGGTCTGTGGACCAAATCAAGAAATAATTAGACAGCTGGCTAATCCAAACTTTAAGATACACTGATAGTCTGTGAGACGTCAACAACACAACACTTGTGTGGATTACACAAAAAGAATAGGATGTTTTTAATGCTTTAACAAGGGATTTACTACAGAAATTCTACCCTAGGGAGACGCTTTGGGGCATCTCTTTAAGGAGGGTTAGTGAACTGGTGATAAATATGTCAGTAATGTGTGTTTCTTTTAGCATTTCGCACAGAATATATCCGGTCAAATGTGTTGCAGAGATTAAGGCTGGATTTGGAAGTGGTATTGGATATATGCCTGTGATGTGATCTTTCTGTTCTTTAACCTAATTCACACACAAGAAAATGATGGATGCATGTTGAGCATTTTAAATGGAGAAACACTGAGCAAATGACCCAACTACAGGGAGACATCTGTCTTTATTTTGAAGGCAACCTGACTGATAGATTGAATTTATTTTGTTTGCACAATTGCTTTTACTAATGGGGAGTCTCCACACATACATATATCTAAAACAGTAGGCCGACTCCGTCCTTAAAAACAAAGAAACCCTCTGAAAACTACAGAGAAATAGAGATGAAATAACGTCTTGTTAAATACTGAGAATACACGTAACTAACCGGAACACATAACTTACCAGCTTCTTTTCCGACAGCTCGGTTTTCTTCGGGTTTCCTCGGGCCTTGGAGCTCAGAGTGCAGGAGGTGCTGACTGTCCGCCTCCACGCTGCGGATACTGGGGGACAACTGTGACTGAGCACGCTCAGCTCCTTCCTTCTAACCTCTTGTCCTAATAAGTATCCTAAAAGTATGTCCGGAGAAAGCCACCGAGGACTTTTAACTCTGGTCAACGTCGCCAACATCGTGTCGCTGGCGAAAACAAGTCTGTTTTGAGGGGAAAAAAAATAGCTAATAAACGTCTAGTTAAGTTATAATGTCAATTCATTGGACATACGGTTCTTAAATAATCGTTTAGACATGTTCAGTAACACATACTTCTTACAGAGCGGCACCATGGATACGGAATCCGTGAAGGGACAGTTTGGATGCGCGATTGTACATGTTTTTTTGTAGTCCTCTACCGCCACCTAGTGTCCTGGAATATGTAATACACACAGGGACATACGAAAAGTAAAGATACTGAGCTGTTTTAATGTTTTTGACCTAAAACCATTGGCAGTGGACCTGTCAACGTTTTTAATCCAGTGTCAGTTAAATTGTTATTGACCCATGTCTGTAATAGTTCATATAATAATAATGTTTGAATGGTTCTCAGGTCCAGAAAAGGTTCATTAAAAAGTACAAAATATTTTTTGTGGTATATTTTGTTGGGCAATCTGACAGAAGTGCCAGTTTTGGCATTGACTACAATCAAAATTTACAGGAACTAGAATATGCAATAAAATCTCCACATCTGTCTCAATGTTGTTACCTTAACGCATGTTTTGTAACTCTGTTCATTGCACACATTATCGCATATTATTTATACTGTGAACTTTTGCTCATTCCTAGGTCAATATTTTCCACATGTATCATCTTTGTTTCAAACACTGTACAGCTCTTACATGTCAAAAATACATGACATTTTTAAATATATTTATTGTATTTTTTCTGTTATATTTATGAATTTTGACTTTTGCAGTACTTATTTTTTTTCTTTTGACTTTCTCTTACTATGTTTATTGTTATGCATCAAAATACCAAGGTAAATTCCTTGTATCTGAAAACCTACTTGGCAATAAATCTTATTGAAAGATGTGTGATTTGTGACATTTCCTTAATAAATCTACAAACTACAGGCATACAAAAGGTGAATGTCAGTTTATTTTTATATAACAAACAGTAACAAAAGACAGCAGAAAGGATCAAGCAATGCAGTCTTACAATAGATAAGTAGATAACATTCATATTTGGATTATGCACACCAAATCTCTCTCTCTCTTTATCTTACAATAACATACAATCAAACACACACACACACACAGTGTACCACCCACATCAGTGACACACCACATAGAACTGGAAAATACGTGCCATACATGTTTAGTTCACAGTAAAATGAAACACTGATACAAATTCAATGTAGTATAGAGAATCCTGTGATTGTCACTGTTGAGTGGTACATAGTTATTTAGCTGTTTGACAGCCAGGCATCTCCCATTCCTGATTAACCCTGCAAAATGACTGCAACTATTGTGTTATTTAACCCTTCTGAGATAAGTTGAGTTACTACAGAATACACTGAAAAGCTGGACCCTCACAGTCACGCTAATAATCCTTATTACTGCTCAAACTTTAAGAAACAGTGATTAGTGAAATTACCAGAGGTGTTGTCTGACTTCTTTTAAATAAATAAATCAATAGGTAAACAACATAATATATGCCCATTTTGTAATCACAGATAGATAGATAGATAGATAGATAGATAGATAGATAGAACGATAGATAGAAGATATATGAAGATAATAGATAATGAAATAACATAAATACATATGTAAAATAAGGCAAGTGTGCTTGTACAAGGTACACTTATCTAAATCTTGACTTATTTCTAACATTATTTACTTCATCTAATACAAAAGATAATAGTACAAGTTTTCACTGAAAAAAACCTTTATGTTTTTGATGAAGTACTTCACATAAGTCTATCCATAAGTCACATAAATACAGAAAATAATTTTCTTAAATATGACGTCAGTTGAAACCTGCAACATAACATTTAATAAGATTAGACAAACCAGCCCTAGTCTTTGCCATCATTGTATGTCAAGAAGCTACAATTAATGATATATCATAGTGATGATATCAGAACCAACCTCAACATGACTGACTGAAGTGTATTGCACTTATTGAAGTAGAGGTGCAGGACCCGTTACTGTTCTGTCCCTGTGTTACTTTGGCTTTTTGAGGATCATTTGTTTAAAAACAGCCTAAATTGCACTACAATACAAAATATCAGACAATACATACACTGTCACTGCAAAATAAAGTGCCGACAAAGTGGCGATATGTTTTTTTTTAATGTAAAATCGTTACTGAATGGCATCAGAGTTGTGCGACCCTTCTTAACTCTGTGTCTTAACTCTCAGCACAATACACGATATGTCTGTACACATCGATGCCACTCAAAACATAGCGTCAAAAATACTACCACGATGTATGATTATCATGGACAATGGTACACACTTTTAATTCTGGATCAGTCAGCTATCTATTGTGCCATTATACCTCAGTAAGACATATGTAGAGAGTGAAAACACAATGTTAGACCACACAGCAACACATCACAGTTTGACTAACACAGACAAACCCCCTGATTAAGTCAGGTTTAAGGACCAACGTTTTCACCTTCATAAAATTAATCTCCCTTATCGTGAGATATAACAGAGTCTCAGCTAGGAATGAAAGCAAGAGCTGGACCGAGTCTATTAAATAAATATCAAGGAACATTTCCTTCAAGGCTAATTTGCTTTTTATAGCCAAAGTCTCACAAACCACTGATCTGCTCTGTGCACTGAGAATAAAAAAAGAGGCTTGTAAACTAAAATAAACATTAAACTCGAGGGATAGGATAAAGACGAGCGAAAGACAAAGACAAAAAAAGAAAGAAAAGCATACAGGCAATTTTCTGAGGCTCGTCTTATAACTTTACTGCTCCTTTTTTAGTACCCTACTTAATCCATATGGAAGGTTTTTACATTACCTGTCTTGAGTCTACAAGCACCTTGACTTTTGTTAAAATGGCCAGTAGCACTTCACCCCCAGTAGCTAGCAAAACATATGAGGAAAGCATTTTGTAGCTTATTTATTCTTACTGTAGCTAGAATGATGATTAATAAGAGGATAATAAATCTGATGCAGCCAGATATTCTACTCCACAGCTGAGCCAGCGTGTCACTGTTGAACTGTTCCTTTTTCATTTTCTTCCAACAGGAAAACGATGTGGTACCTTATTGCTGATAATTTCCATACTGACCCTGCAATGTAAAACAAATTATACTAAGAGATTAAATTGTATTTCATGCATTGTGTTATTCACATTTCAAGTCCAAAAGTATATTTTTTAGTTGCCCAATTCTCACTACATCCATCAGCTTTCCTGATATTTTATATTTGATCATGTAAGAATCTAAAGACGTGAATACTTAGTAACCAAGGTTAACAACATTTATGATAATGATTTAGTAGATCTGAAGGGGTCGGGGGCTAGGGGAGTCTATATACGTCCCTGTGTATTCATGCCTCAAGCTACACTGAAAAAAGAAAATCAACCATAAAGAATTACTTTAATTGGAATTCATTTTTTAAAGGTTTTTCTTATCATGTTAACTAGTGTGATTACCACAATTGCTTTGAAACAACTTAATTCATTTGTGAGTTACCAATTGAGTTATTTAATTAAGTTGGTCCAACAATTCTCTTTTTTGTGACTCTTCAAAAAACCATGCATGGGGTGTGTACGAATACGGTTTAATCAGATAAATCAGAGATTAGCATCATCAGATAAAATAATGCATGGTATGAAGAGTATTGCCACAACAGATGTGTTGTGGCAAGCAAGATTAAATCCATTATTTGTTACTGTTTAAACTGTTGTTTAATTTAAAAATTAAAAACTGACTGGTGAATTCCATCCAAAAAGTGTTGCACAGCCAGTTTCAGAGAATCTGAGAAATGATCTTATTTAATGTACCTGTTCATAGGCATAGGGCCTCTGCGTTTGCGCTGCAGGGCCTCCTTGTGAGGAGCGGTAGGACCCATACTGTTGGCTTTGACCTTGCTGATACTGAGAATACTGAGAGGATCCACCCTGGCCAGGACCTGTAACAGAGGGGTTATATTCAGTTCATTTGTTCATTTTATTTTGAGTGTTTTATTAGAGTGTTTTTATGTAAATTCACAATACACAATAGGTTGTATGGGTTGTTCTAACCGTATCCCTGTGGCTGTCCACTGTAGCCTTGCTGAGAGGAGTACTGCTGCTGGCTGAAAGGCTGCTGCTGGCCAGAGCCCTGCTGATACGGTGCCTGTTGTTGACTGTACTGAGAGTTACCTGCAGGTATTAATACACAGGTACACCTGTCAGCTTGGAAACATTTAGAGAAACCGAGGTTGTGAAGGTGCAGGAAAATATACCTAAAACAAATGATAAAAGGACTGTTACCTCCTTCATAGTAGTGCTGTGAAGATTCATCAAAGGACCTGTCGTAGCCTTGCTCACCATATGAGGACTGTTGATATGAGTACTCCCCATGACCTGTAGAGAACATGATTCAACACATACAAAAACTCCTCTACAAAGGCAAAACCCACTTACATACAAAAGAGAAATTATTATTTGTTTGAAGCAAAAACATTCATAATACATTTGCAACCACAGAATTGCAAGCACAAACAACATTTTCAAGGCTTCTCACTTCAATATGATGCACAAAGAAATACCCTGGAGGAAGTTTGCGGCCTTTCCTCAACACACTGCTATAGCACTCTGAAATCTGAAATTTCGGCACACCAAAGGGGACAGTATGGACACAGACACACTGGGAGGAAATAGGATTGAGACCAATGTCAATCTTTTATAATTTTTTTCAATACTATTCATCTCCCACAATAAGGGAAAAAGACGATGACTGGGAGGAAGAGCTGAAGCTTCAGCGCTGCAGTAAATCTGGCTCAGGCCTGAGGGATAGTCCTAAAAGTAAATGACATGTCCTATAATGGGGGTTTGTGTGTTTGAGAGCTGTGTGTATGAGGTTTATGGATGTGCATGATTACCATCAGGGTAATACTGCTGGTTTTTGGGCTCGCTGGAGCTCTGAGTGTGTCCATACTGCTCTCCGTAGAACTCGTCCTGTCCCATGTACTGCTGTGCAGATCCTGCAAGACAGGCGACACCACGATTGGTTAAACAGTTGGTTGGACGGCTGAGTTGGAGACTAAAGGGGCTGTGCAAGGACACTTTGAAGGTCTGTATATGTGTGTATTAAAAATTAATGAAAGACAGAAATATAAGATTATAACGGACGCCATTATGGACAGCTTTCATGAAAGTTAAAGGCTATTATGAATAATTGACAATAGAGTTAATTAATATGACAGTTATAATTTAGTTTTAAGCTTATGTAGTGTTGAATTTCACTGGTGATGATGTTCTATGGGTTGAAATAATAATATGCAGGAAGCTATTTTGGGCTAACCCACATTTTGGAAATACTAATTAAAGTGGAGCAATTACAATGAATAATTCCATGACGAATTACATGAGATGTAATTTTTGCAAAGAAAATGAGGATTAGAGAAAGCCAGTTATCAGGGAGAATCTGATCTCTGCCTGGTGGTGGTGTGCAGAAACTCCAGATTCCACTCCTTCCTTTTCCCTTTCAATTTTATCTAATAAACTCAGAAAACCAACAGAACAAAGACTCTCTGGAAGATGCACTGAAGAGCCATGTGCAGTCTAATCTTTTTTACAAACCAAATGCAGAGATGAGCTGTGGCATAAAAAATAAATAAAATTTAACTTCTGCAACAATAGCGAAAATGTTCATAGCACCATATCTGATCATTCTGGATATGACCAAGGAGCCACAGCTGACAGAGGAGCCCTAGCAACAGCCCCATGACCAATGGCTGGAGAGCCAGTCACCCAGCTGAACTATGGACAAAAACTCCATAACAAAGTTGTATCTGGAAATACTTCACCCAGTCATGCAAGGATAATTGTGTACCAGGGTGAAAGAGGACTTACAACCCTGGCCTGTTACCCTGGAAACAGTATCCCATCCTTTTTATATATCTGAGTTACTATGTGCCTAGTCTTCAAAAGACATAACAGGACAGGATGGAGCTATTATTAGGTACATGCTGAGACAGCACAAGTTAAGTGATTTACAGAGACAGGAACCTAATGTGACAAGAGTGATACATCTCTAGTCTGCTTCTTAAAGTTGCAGGAAGACACCTGTGATAGACTAATTTGGAAACCTTCTATATCATGCTCGCTTTATGATCTTTGAAGGCAAAAAACTAATACCCTGCATGCACTAATACTTCAGCAGCAAACTTCGCATTTCCATCAATCTTGAAACTGTGAGACTGGCATCCAGAGCTAATGAATACCTGTTGACCATTTCAGTCCAAACTGTTCCAAACTCTAGTCACACATCCATCTACGCACTTCAGCATTCAAACACAAACAAACTGATTGAGGCCCTTGCCACACCAAACTAGCATGAAGAAGTCATACCACCTACCTTGCTGTGAGGAGCGGTAGGATCCCATGGGCCTCTGAGACATCATACTGTTTCCTTGACTGCCCTGACCCATCATGCCCATGGCCTGCTGTCCCTGATAGTGCTGCCCACCAGTCTGGGCTGAGGAGTAGTGTGGAGTGGCAGACTGTTGGTGCATCATAGAGACTGGGAAGGAGGTGGGATTTTGGGGGGAGATACCTCATACATTAATATACACAGACACACACTCTGAAATGTCCATAATTAAACTGACAAGAAACGTAGACAAACTGACAACAACAAATATAGAAAGAGGTCCATGGCCATAAGGGCACGGGGTAAAGCGAGGTCTCTTAAAGAAAACTCTCTTTGAGGAAATGTTTTCAGGATGCTGCTCTGAAGTATAAATGCAAACAAAGCCAGTGAAGTCAGTGCATAAACAGAGGTACAGTAAATACACATGGACATCAAGGGAGAGGAGGGCTGCATCTCAGGATCAGGAGTCAGAGATTAGGAGAGGTAAAGCCTGGAGCAGAAGGAAGAAGGGAGGAGGCAGGACACCCCTCTGATGAACTGAATGTGTTTGCTTATTTTGAGGGTTACAGCTGACTAATTTACAGATTAATGAGTGCAGATACACATGTGAGCAAATGTTTTAAGCAAGATCAAGGGGCCATGAACTGATTTACCATATGGTACTCACCCTGAATCACTCTCGTCCTCTAAGTGCCAAATCTTGCATCATATCCAATTAACAAAATAAAATCCAAAAAGACATCTTGCATCTTATATATATTGTATAGTTCATGATGATCAAGTTTTGGTGTGTTTAATTCATAAGCCTGGACCAATTCCTGATGGCTCCTCTATACCTGGCTCACCTTGGTTAGACTGCATGTTGAGGTTGCTGCGGGAGGAGGAAGAGGAGGAAGAGGATGTGGAGGAGGAAGACGAAGATGAGCCATAGCCAGGCCCAGGGCCCTGGATCATGCTGCCCTGGGAGGAGGGCGCAGCGTGGCTGTAGCCGGAAGCTGAGGCCGAGCTACCGTAGTTGCTGGCTGGCAGGCTGAGGGAAGCGGAGGGAATAGCCGACTGCACCTGACCAGACTGCTGCTGCATGGGGGCATGGCTGGGGCCTGACGACACACACGCACCAGTCAGAGCAGCCAGCACACGTTCCCATGAGGTGCCATAGCATGTTAATCATGGACCCACATTCAGTTCATCTTTACAGGAAGCTTGCATGGTAGTAGTCAAGGATCAATGTCAGACAGGATTGAGTAATGAGTATTAATGATGTGTGCAAAAAGAAATTAGAAACACAAAGAAACAAAAGTCCATATAGCTATAATCTGACTATCAGATCATTAGCTGAACTTAAAACCACAGATACTTGCAGGCAATAAGACAATAAAGAAGAGAGACAAATAAGACATGGCGTCTGCACACAAACATGCAGCAGAGTCAGGATCAGGTGAGAACTCAAGACAGGGGATGGAACAACAAGATGGAGCTGCATGTGTGCACACGTCTGAGTTTGTGTGGAAAACAAAGTTCATAAAGTTCACAGATTATATCTAAAAAATGCACATTTGTGTTCAAATCTCACCATTGCTCATCTGGCTCTGCATCATTGATGTGGGGGGCAGTCCTGGTGCCATGTTGTCATTGAGGTTGCTTGGAGTGTGTCCCCCACTTTGGCCCATCCCACCGGGACCCATGGACATGTTGGGCGTGGGAGGCTAGAGAGTAAAAATATACTTAATCATTTAAAGTAAAGACTCTTAATTGTTGTCCTCTCTGTGTCCTTTCATATTTTCTCTATTTCCTGTTGTTTCTTCTACAGATGTA